TTTCTTAAGGAAAACGTGTTTCTAACATTAGTATATACTAACTAATATCCAAAATGTATGAACTAGTATCCAAGTTTGCTGATTTTACTAAAGTATCTAGAGAGCACAAACTAGTATTCAAAACATCACAAACTAGTATCCAGATAGCAGATACCAACTAATATCCACAATCAACCAATTAGTATTCAATATGGATACTTTTATATTTATGTGTTATATGGATACTCTTATGTGTTATCTGAATACTAATTATGTGTTGTATGGATACTATTCTGTGTTGTCTAGATATTAGTTTATGAATTTGGGATAATAGTTGATTCATGGTGGATATTCGTTAGCAAACCTATATGTGCTCTCTAGATACTTTAGTACTTGGATAGTAGTTCGTGTATTTTGGATATCAGTTAGTATCTGCTAACGAATCTTCAAGTTAGTAACTAAATCTGGACCTTTAGATCTAAGTGGGTCTAGAAAATTCAGATATAAGGGTTGTCAATTAAATACATTTTATTTTCTCTAGTTTTCTTAATCGGTTCTTATCTTCTTCGTTCTAACTCGGATTTCAAATTTTTTTTGCACAGATGGAACGAGTTCGTTGTGCTCTACAATATGAGATCAATTTTCAATATATTTCGAGAAACTTTTTTTTTAGCAATTACATACCATATGGTAACTTCTTCATTTTTAAATCGTTTTTGAAAACGTTTGCTCAGAAGGAACGAGTTCATCATGATCTATTGGATCTATAAATTTCTGGGTGAAAAAAAATATTGGATAAAAAATTACCATATTTTACCACTATGGTATGTGGGTGGTAACTTGTAGTAAACAATGATGAAAGTTGTAAATGACAGGTAATATACTCCTACTATCATGTATTCAACCTTCTTACCATATTGGTATGTTCATACCATCATGGTACGCTTTCTTACCATACGGTATTAAATTAGAGCATACCATATGGTAATGACTGGTAAAAAATTATTCAATTTTTTTGTACTAAAAATATATCAAAGTGAATATCATTTTAAAAAGCACATTTAAACTGATTTATCTGTGAAAAAAAAATTCGACTTAAAACGAGAGAGAAATCGTCCATTAAAGATTAAAGAGGAAAAAATAAAAGACTTTACAGAAGAGAGAGGATACTGATGTCATGCTCATGTGGACAGGTTACTAATAACCATAGAATTACTGACGTGATCCGCTCCCTGTTTTCACAATTTTTTTTTTGTCATAGATAAATCGTAATAGATAAGGTGTTACAATGCGGTGAAAAAGAAAGAGCGGTAGTCAACCAAATGGGTTGCTACCGATGCAAGGGCCGTTTGTGCCACGCAATGGGCAGCCCTGTTAGTATGCCTAGAAACATAAAAAATGAATAAACGCAAAAAAAGTCTTCTTTCGGCGAACTTCTTGAAGAGCCTTCTATTAGCCGATTTATGCTGAATACAAAACCTGCAAAGCAAGACCAAGCAAAAATACCAAACACAGGTGCATAATTAAATATGTCATTGAGTAAGAATTAAAAGTCTTAAAATGAACGTGGTTAGGAACCGCTTTTGTAATTGTAACCGCCTATCTACTTGTAACCGTCTGAAGCATTCCACATCTAGGATTGGAGGCTCCGAATTTGTAACTGCCACCGAAATTTGGATGCCGGAATTGGAAGTACGAAGAGGGAACGATATCGGTGCCATTGCTATACACTGGCCATTGCCAGCCCTTGTGTCGTTGTAGCAGAAGCTCCGCCATTGGTGAGGCCTGCAAAACAAACAAATGAAATATGGCCACTCGATGATACTCATTATCTCCCTAAAAACGGAGTCAATCAGGCCCATAAGCCACTGATGGTAATCCGAATACCAAAACAGAGATCTAAATCGTCGCCGTCTCTACCGCCGGTAAACCGTGTATCCTTGTCTTCAAGTGGATCTGCACCTGGATCGGCACCTGTTTAGTTGAAAAATCCAACCCAACCAAACAGCCCTCAAAACAATCAGCGCTCCGCTGTTAGGTTGAAGCCGTCGGCACCCTCCCCTGAGAACGGCCGCTGCTCTGATCCAGTGAAGCGACCAGATGGAGAAGAAAATCCCTTGTTTTCACAATTCAGACCAGGCCTGTCGGATCGATTCGGGTCGGGTAACCGAACCCGAAACCCACAAAAAACCGAAAACCCGAAACCGAACCCGAAACTGTGCTTTGTGGGTTTCGGGTACTGGAACCCGAAAATTATCATGGCGGTTTGGTTCGGTTCGGGTGAACCCGAAACCGAACCGTTTTTTTTTTGGGGTACTTTTGTGATTTGAGAATAGTCAGATTTGGATCTTGTTGTATGCTCGTTAGCTTCAGAGTTCGCCATCCATGGCGTCTATCATCTCAAATAGCCAACAAATGGGAGCTTAACACTTAAGCAAGTGAAAATGAAGTAACCATGAACAATGAATGCAGTAACAAGAAATTGGGCGTAAACAAAATGTTTCAATCCATAAGAGCTTCAATCACTACAATCCTTACCCATCCAGAACAAGAAATTGGCGGAAACAAGAAATTGGCCATCCTAACCTGAAAAATCAATTCACCCAAGTTAGCAAGGTAATTTTGGTTTTGAATTAGACTAAAAGTTTGGTTCACAGACATAAGCCATCTCGTGGTGGAAGGGGATCTTGCGATCGGGCGGTGCCTCATTGGCGGTGTAGACGCGGCCGACGACGTTAGTCCGGGAGGCCGCTCTGCCGAGGTAAGGCTGATCGGGGTATCCGAAGGATTCCACGACTTGGTCGAATTCGGCGGCGCTGGAGACAGGGAATCCCCTAAATAGGATTGCCCTTGTTTTATGGAGCAGCGATTCCAGAAGCGGCTTCTGGGATTCTATGGCAGAGATGAATTCGGCGAGAGATGGCGGCGAATTTGGCCCGAGGACAGCTGGGAACGGTGGGGAACAGTTGGCGATGGGTGTGTGTGGCAGTGTGGCGAATGGCGATGCCTCTCGGGTTTTTCGGGTTCCCTCTCGGGTTTCGGGTTTATGAAACCGAAAATGACATGTACATTCTCGGGTTGAAACCGAAAAACCGAACCCACAGACACTTGCTGGCGGTTCGGATTCGGGTTAAACCGAAAACCCGAAACCATTTTGACAGCCCTAATTCAGACACAGAAATAGTGATTTCATTCCATAAAAAGTTTTAATTTAAAAAATTTGAAAACGTAATTCTTAAAAAAAGAAAAAAATGTGTAAACTGAGGAAGCCACGAAGCATGGAGCAATGGGTTCCGTACTTCCGTTCTGCGACACTGTCCTTCAACTCCCGGCTCCAGAGATAGAAGCTTCTTTATTCTTTCAACGTTTTTTCCTCCCATCTCCGCTGCCTACTTCTTCTCTTTGCTCAACCCGTCGACTCCATCGCTGATGAATCCGCTATCCGCCTCTCAAGACTAAAAGCAGGTAACTTTCGGAGCTCCATCGATACAGTGTTATCATACAAACGCTGCCCAGTACGTTCCAGGCTAGAATTATAGCGTTTCTTTTCTGTTGAGGAGGAGACGTTTTGCTGCGGTACTTGAATATATTGTGTAGGCGTGAGTTGAGTGAGAGTTATGATGTTGATTTCTGGGTCAAGGGGGCTGCCCGTAACTTGCTCGATAAATTGTCTGACTCAGAATGTCAATGGGTTCCTGATTTGGTTATGGTTCTGATGAAATAAGAGTAGATATAGAGTTTAAGTCGCTGCCTGATTGGCTGAAGGATGCTGCGGCTGTGGGTGGCTACCAATGAAGTAAGTAGGTCTCCCGTCCCGTGGTTTCCTCTTTCTCATGATGAATCGAACTCGAGAAATTTGTTTTCTATTCGTGGCACTGTACTACAATCTTCACTCACTCCAGTTGGGGAGAATGAACTGTATAAATGGAAATTTGTTGCTGAAGATACGGAGATTTGATCATTGCGAGAATGATATTCTGGATCTGGAGACACAAAACATGACATCCATTTTGAGAACTCTGCTCTTGAATGTCGATTCTGGTTCATGGCCAGTTTTCTTCATAGTATTTAGCACAAATCATGTTATTAAGTACATGAAGTGGAGATATTTCTTACATCAGATACTTTCTAATGGAACGGAATCACAGAGCCAAACAGCTCTTCAGTTCACTTTTCCATCAGGTTTCCTCTTACATAGCGAGGGTTTAGTTGGGAAAAGTAAAGCAGCAGCAATAACAGAAAAAGAAGCAAGGAAGCCAGCAAACAGTTATTTAACGCATTGAAAGGGGCAGTCTTAGGCATGGAAGCCATTGCTCCCCTTAGCAAGTTCCTTCATGGTCTCAAATCTCTTCCCCTTATCTGCAAATTTTGTGGCAGAATAGAGCTGAAGATAATCACCAAAAGTATATGAGTGGGGATAGAGAAGCTCCGAAGCTGGAGTTATAACAGCATCACCAGCTGGATTATAAAACGTGGCTATGGAGAGCCTGCTTCCATTCTTGTCAGCCATGACTCTATGCAGAGTACTCTTGTACCTTCCGTTGGTCAAGACCTCCACCTGATCACCTATATTCACGAAAATGGTGTTGTTCCTGGATGGAGGAATCTGAAACCACTCCCCATTTTTCAGGAACTCGAGCCCTGGGACCTGATCGTCCTGAAGCAGGAGTATGATCCCACCGGCATCAGTGTGCTCTCGGAGCCCCCTCACAAGCTCTGGCTCAGGACATTTTGGGTACTTAGCAACTTTAGTCCCCACAGCAGGACCCTCTTTCCCAGAGAAAGCCTCCTTGATGAAACTTTCATCTAATCCCAGATTCTCGCACATGAGGTTGGCGAGTTTCTCTGCTAGCTTTATCAGTTCAGCAACGTACTCATCGATGGTTTTGCTGCAATTAACATAACAAATGCATATCAAGGTTAGTCAGAGCATCACTCAAAGTAAGACTAGTCTGCAGAATCTTACGTTGTATTCATATGTGGAAGGGAACTCACCTGAAACCCTGAGGCAGGTTTGGGATTTGATGGATGTTTGAGGTAGGACGGTGCCTGATGAAGAAGCTGCTCTCCCAATCTACATCAGATGGGTTTTCTTTCTTATTCAGCTTCTTGGCTGTCTCTGACTGGTAGAAGCTCTCTTTCAGGTTTTCCTCGTAATGTTGATCGACGAGCTGCTTCACTTTCTCCATCAACTTGCCATCAACACCATGGTTCTGAACCTGCAACAAGAAAAGAAGAAGAAAAAAGGTATGTCATCATGGGATTTTGTCACCTGCTTGCATCAGAAGTGAATCAAACCTCACAATTTACCTGAAAGAAACCCCAGTTCTCACAAGCATCGTGCAGTATCTCCATGGCCTTGCTCCTGTTTTCACCTTCAAGATCTCTGAAATCAATGGTGGGGATCTCCATAGCTTGCTCGGGCATTGTCCTCCTATTCTGCAACTGTGAAGGTAAGTGACTTATGTGGTTCTGGACTGGGGAGGGTTTATATAAGCAAAGGGACAGGGTTGGTATTTGGAAAGCTACACCAATGTAAGTAATATTATATATCCTAGACGTAGTTAAGATTAGAAAGTGTCGGCAGCTAATACTAGACAGTAAACTGAATTCTCTGGATGTGTCCGCTGAAATCACACTCAACTATGTAGAGTAATCCAAGTTCAGTGTATAGTTCCACATAATCTGGTCAGGAAAAATCTCATTTTGGTTTTAATAAATCTCTGATCAACAGTCAAAATGTGTGGATTTGTGCCTGAATTCAGTACCCAAAAAAGGTAAGCAAGGTCAATCAACCGCCCCTTGTAATTCCCACCCATTATAACTGAATCTGGTTCATTTCTCCCCCCCTCATATTATTAATCTTCATCAACTAGAATGGGAATTCTTATATATATATGTCAACTTGCTTCATGATTGAGGTTTACTTTATTATTTTTTCTAAGCAAGAAGTCTGAAATCTGTGGGCATCTCGAATTCCATCGTGGGATCAATGAAGGTATTGTCTTTGGGAAAACTGTGGGATGGAAATGGGACTGATTTAGATTTGGATCTCAGGGTTTCCTGCCAGTTGGATTTCTTTTTTTCCTGCATATGTAATGCATAAGTATTGTAGGTTATGGTACTGTTGCTCTGTAGCTTGGTTTTCAGCTGAAAGAGATGGGGGGAGAAGGATGGCTGCTGCAGGGATTCCTGAAGGAAGAACATGTCAGTTTGTCATTTAATTATACAGCATTTGATAGAGGTTACTATTACTATGACTGTTCATTCGTTTAGAGATGTGTTTTTAGGGTGTTTTCATTATTTATTTCAAGTGTATACAATAGTATGCAATACGATATTGTTGTTTTTATATGGTTAGTATGGGTTATATGCAGCGGCGGATCCAGAACAAGTTAGAGTTATGGGCCGCATTTAAAAAGCGGTGGAGAGGGTTAGACCATAACCCTATAAACATTGAAATATATACCCAAAATCAAAAATTTACAAGTACTATACGAGTTTTGCATCCGGAGAAGGTTGGGTCGTGGCCCAGGGCGGCCCCTAGATCCGCCGCTGGATAGATGAATGAATTTTGTAACTGTATTTTTGTAGTGTTCAATGTAAAGCTTTCTAAAGGCATTGTTAATTATTTGCAAATGATAATAATATTATGTATGCACCAGAAACACCGAGATGCATGGGCAGTATTGTTTCTAATTTTAATATTAATGTTCACAATAAACAACAAACCTCTTCTTCCACTTTGTTTGGGCAGTGGATCCACATGTTTGGTCTAAAGACTAGTCTTCCTAATTCTTAAGTGGTGTAGACTCTAGAACTTGTCCAGTTTACTAGATTATAAAAATTGTATTGAAGATCAAACCGGACACATTAGTAATAGAGTATTTTATTATACAATCGTGATTACTCATTATAGTATTTCATATCGATAAAATATTATTTTATTGGTGACTTTATTAAAAGTAAAACAATGGCTCAAACATAGACTTGTGATGTCCTGATTCAGCGAAACATTATTCACGGTAGAAATCCTGAAAGTAAAAGCTCAAAATATTACTAACAACTATAAGCCAAGCCAAGACTAAGTAAAATTAAAACAAGGCACTATAATAACCCTAAAGAAAAACGAATAAAGGGATTGCTCTAGTGGTAATACTACTAGCCTTTTTTTTGGACAAAAGATAATCATATATTGATTGAAATATAGGCAATTACATCCTGGAATACAGCCAGGCCTGGAAATCAAAGAAACGACTCGTAGTCGGGTACAAAGAAAGGGTCTTGCGAGCTACCAGATGAGCTACCCTAATGTTCCTCCGACCTACAAATCGAACACTAAACCCTGTATGTGCCACAAACAAATTGCTTACCTCTACTAGAATGGGCCCAACCCGGCTATCTCTGGTCTCAGCCCTACGGAGCTTCTCAATAATCACCTGGGCATCGCCTTCAAATCGCACCTCAGAAAAACCTTGCCCTAAGCACCACAAGATAGCCTCCCGAAGAGTCAGCAGCTCCACTACCAGTGGGTCATCAATCCTCGGGAACTGCACCCCCTTGAACAAGGAGTATTTCACGGGCTGGAGTCAAGAAGACCATCCACTGCCGAATGAGAACCAGCCCTAACCGCCCCATCCCACATACAAATTGCCAGGGCTGGATCCATAGAATCCACCGGACTAAGAGTAGTAGGAGGTCGGGGGGCCTGGTCCCTAGGGAGTCTAACCCACTCTTGCACTTGTTGATTGAACTGTCACATCAAGGATGCAATCCCAAACTGTTTGCCTTCAAAGACAACCCAGTTACGAGATCGCCAAATTCTCCAAAGGACAGCGATCACCTTTATAAACTGAGGTTTCCGGTCAACCAGAGCCAAGATCTTCTTCAGAAAGAGCGGGAAGGTATGCCGAGGCAACCCTTCCCCTAGGTGAGCCAGCCCAGAGTGATCCCAAATGGCACAAAAAACTATGCAGTCAAGGAACATATGTTCCATTGTTTCAGCCCCGCCCCAGCAAACGGGACACCTGGGTAGAACAACAATCTGTTTTTCGATTAACGCCTTTTTAGTAGGCAATATCCTCCAAAAAATATGCCAAACAAACACCTTTAACTTCTGAGGTATGTCTGCCTCCCACAACCGGATCCAACTAGCTCGATCCATCCAACTAACCGTGGATTTTCACCTGCCCCGCTGTTGATCCAGAGTGACCGCAAAATGGTACCCGACTTAACAGTGAACACACCATCAGTTGTAGCATACCATACCAAACGATCCTCTACATCTTGGCGAGGCAACAGGATCGCCCTTATGGCCTTACATGTCATAGGATCAAACCATTGCCGGAGCTTATCATTGCACCATCGTCCTTCACCAGGTTGAATTACCTCTGCCACCTTCAGCTCCACCCATTCCGGAAGCACACATGGATTATACCTAGGGGGAGCGGGTGCAGGCTAGGGATCCAATTGAACGTTAGGAGGGCGGCTTGCCGACCATTGCCAATTTGCCAACGTAACCCCGTTGCCAGAAGCTCCCGACCATGGAGGATACTCTGCCAACCCCACGAAGGTCTACACCGAGCTGTTGCCGAGAGAAAAGAACCATGAGGGAAATACTTCCCTTTATAAACATGAGCAAGGAGGGAATCAAGCTCATTTAAAATTCGCCACCCAATTTTAGCTAGGAGAGCCTGATTAAAATGTTCAAATCAACGAAACCTCATTCCCCCATCATGCTTACTTCTACACATATTCCTCCAAGAAACCCGCCGAATTTTCGACTGACCCTTCTCAGATCACAGGTTTAAATCCCTTAAGTAGTACCTAAACAACAAAAAAGTAAAACCTATATCACCTTTATAAAAAAAACCTAAAGAAAAACAAGCTATTATAATAAAATTTTGCCAACTTTCTACATAAATAATTCCATTTTAAACGAATCATAACTCGTTCATTTAACTCGGATGTCAAATACTTTTGCAGAGAAAGCTTAAATTAATTAGTATATATGATATGATATCCATTTTTCATATATTTATTTAACAAAAGATTCACCTCATTCAATAATGGTACGGATTTCTTAGTTTTTTCTTATTATTTAATTTTTTTATGTATTATTGTATTTCTGCATTTCACGTATGCCTCAGGAGATTACTAATAGTATGCATTCTAGTGTTTCTTCTATATTTTCGGATATTTATGTTATGCATTCTAGTGTTTTTGGTATGCTTTCTTGTATTTTTGGAATGCATTGTTATGTTTCTAGTGTAAATTCTAGTGTTTCTAGTACACATTCTTTAGTTTTTGGTATGCATTATGTAGTTTCAATTGGATTACAATAATGTAGAACTGAAAATCAGAAATTAAAAATGAATATTTTTGGTAATTGAGTTACTTTATTAAACCCACTTGATCAATTGACCAAGCTGCGAAAAACTAGTCTGGCAAGCGGCCTACGGGGTCGTTTGGATGGGGTTAATTGTCAATGTGGTATTTGTAGAGTCAAATAACTTATTTATTGTTCATGTTGTATTTCAGTGTTATTTCAGTGGTAATTGAAATAAAGTATCTCGTTTGGTTGAACCATGCAAATGTCATGCAAATGTGGTATTTGACATGTGGTATTTGGTAAAAACAGAGTGATAAAACGAGTTATTTCAAAATAACACATGGGTATAAGTTATTTCAAATAACTCGTTTTGAGTTATTTGTAAATAACTCACAGTCCAAATAACTCATTTTAGTAAAACGCTGCCAAACGAGTTGTTTGCGTCCAAATAACTCATTGTGAGTTATTTGAACCCAAATAACTCATACAAATACTCCATCCAAACGACCTACATGTTTTGTACTTCAATAACTACACAAATAACAAGTTATGAAAGCTATATAATGAAAAGACTTGTGTGCTAACAATAAGCTAAAACATGAACTCCTGATCATCTGAAAAAACACCAGCTGCCCCATACTGAACAACCTGACATTTTCTTTTAGCTGGGCAAAAAATTTCTCCGAGCTTCTGCTTGGGTTACAAAAGAACCTTTCCACAATGCTCATTCCAAACCAAGTCGGTAAAACACCCCACAAAGTCTTTTATCCGTTAACAGTGCTGCCCATATAATGGCACCTAAAACACCACCAAAACATTTCATAATCTTTTGACTTTTTTATGTGGTTTCACTAGGGTGTCGCTTATAGAGAGTTTTTAATCAGTTTTGTTTGTATAACTCTTATCGTTTCTTAATATCACTCGGAAAAAAAAAAAAGTCTTTTATCCGCAGCTTATGAAGAAGATTGCAAGTCAGAGCAAGCATACCCTTCCACTCTCCTTGCCATACTAGACTATATCTTAGAAGATAGCAGAAATAATTGGCATCTAAAAATGGGCAAGCACAAAACAAATAGTCTCTTGCTTCATACTTATGACCATAGAGAACACATTTGCAAAATCTGCATATCCAATTCGTATAGCTTATTTCTTATTTAATTTGATGTTATTCAAAATAACTAGCCTAGTGAGGAATCGATATC